GCGCTCTCAGGCAGAATTCAAATAGCAAAACTAGTCTGTCGGCGGTGCGACCTCCACCCCCGCAGCCCATCACACATCAAAACTAACAACAACCCCGCCCGCAGGCGCGCCCCCCCCCCCCCCCACCCCTCCCCCCCCCCCCCCCCGCCCCCCTGCCGTTCAGTTTTTTTTTTTTGTGTTTTTGTGGGGGGGGGGGGGGGGGGGGGGGGGGGGGGGATATTTCAGAAAATTCAGAAAATGCAGAAAATTTCTTCCAAAAAATTGATACAAAAATTGACAGATTCCATCTTCGTTCGAGAAATCAAATGAGAACTGATCAAAACTGAGTCAGAGAATCAGTCAACAGGCACTGGGCCTACTTTTACCCCCATACCGGTCCTGGTTCATGTCATGAATCATGAGCGAGGTGTGAAATTATAAATAGTTTTTCGTTTGTCAGACATTTAAATGCGATTGTCAGTCAATGCCTGGCGCGACTCCTCCCCTCCAGCCAGACACAGCCTCTGCCATCTCCGACACCCCACTGCGCCCCATGCTGCCCCTTTGAAGGGCGTGTGGGCGCCTCTTGAAAATGAATTTACGACAAGAGAAATATCCAAAAAAGAGGGAGAGACATTCAATTAAATGTGAGATTCCGATTCCCAATATTGGAATATGGAATTATGGAATACCAACGCGTGCTATGGGACGGACGCCCGCCCACACAGTGGCTGCAAAAAGTATCTGCCAGATGGTAGCAGCAGAAGTATCTCTAAATGGACTCCCTCTGTCTCTCTATGCTTCATTTCAATCTGAATCTTTGTACCTGAAGCTGTGCATGTGTATCTGTACTTGTGTATGCCGTAATTGTATCTGCGTATCTGTATATCCATCAAATTGTGAGTCATAAGTGGCAGGGCACTTCCGCCTCCAGAGTTCAAAAAACTTCCAAATACAACGAAACAAAACAAAAACCTCGTAGCCGTCAGAGATTTTTGTGTGTGTGTTCGGTGGCGATTTGTGAGGTTGATGCCTTGCGGCAGCAGTGGGTTTTTCTCTCTCTCTCTCTCCCTGTCTCATTTCTCATTTAATTTTCTTAGATTTCGGAGATCTGAGATCTGTACGGAGATTTGTTGTAGCTGCCCCTGACTTTGGGTAAACCAAAGGCACCCAGAGAGCTCTTTGAACTGCGCGGTCGGCCTTTGTGTTGGCTCCATGACTGCGATTATAGGGTATTATCAATGTCAAAACACTGGCCTTCGATTGTTTGCGTATACCTGTGCCTGGCCAAGACTGCGGACAGATAAGAAGCTGCACAAAAGGTGTCCAAGAGATCACAGAGTTCCCAATGAAAGTTCATGAGATGTTTTTGGGGTTAAGTCCTCCATTAATCTGACATGGAATCATGTCTTTTTCTATGTACTTGCCCCCAGGGAGACTCTTCTGTGGTCTATCCAGCTAAGTCTTTCTTTTACTTATTTTTGTAGAAGCTTGTGTTGTACTCCTCCTTTTAGTTCTTAAACTACTTCACAATTTCCCACACACAATTAAAGTGTTGGATTCCAGTTGCGAATGTTGTACATCCCCATAGATCGTGGCTCTTGCATGATGTCAGGCCTCAGCTCAGATCTCTCTCCGCACTCCGCACTCAACGTTTCAGCGATCGATCATTCGATTCATTCGACTATTCATCAACTATTTATGAATCCGCCTTCCGTCTGCCCCTTTGCTCCTCCTCCTTCTTTCATATACTCATTATTAAATTGCCTCTTGGGCACAAATAAAAAGCAACGAAAAATACAAACACGAAATAATCTCCGCCAAATAAACTCCGCCAAAGAGCCTGTGTCTGTGTGTGTGTGTGTGTGGGTATTTAGTTGTTTTTATTAATAAATTATTTATATGAACAACAATCTCGGTTCTGTTCTCCGAGAAGTTCTCTCTGTGCTGCGAGGCACTCAAGCGTAAAGATCTCTAACAAACCATGCAAATAAAATCATCAAATAATCGAGGGACGAACGAGGGACTCGCCCACTTCCGGATTCAGGCAGAGACTGGCAACTTGCCACCGAACCCCGACCACCGACCACCGACCACCGGCACCTGGCACCTGGCACTGCCTCTAGCGATGCGATCATCAGGTGGGGGGTCCACAGGTCGCCGGGCACCATTTTGGACATAATTTTGCGGATGGGCAAACAAGCACAACAATGGGCACAAATTATGTTAAAAAATGTAATTTCTAGCGTGTGCGAGTACGCGTACAATCAATCATCATGTTACGTGCGGTTTTGGGTTGCTAGTTTTTAATTTTTAAATGACTTAAAGTACGAGAAGGCCAACAGCCTAATTTGTAAGCTCAGAATAATCAGCAGCAGATTGATGAGAGATCCTTTGGTCTCCTTTTGAGATCTATGCAATTGCAATCCACTTTGAATTGTTCGTTTTTTCTTTTCTTTTCTTTTCTCGTTCGAATTGAATTCATATTCTTTTTGGCAATTAAATTGTGTGTTGACCCATTTCTCAGTGGCTCTGATGGGAGCTTGCCACTTGCCACATGCCAACTCCGCCTCTGCCTGCTGCTGTTTGCCTTGAAGACAAACATAGAAGTTGCCTTTTTGCAGGAGGAGGATGCTGCTGCTGCATGGGTGTGAGGCAGGAATGTGTGTGGCACTGGAGCAGGGGGTTTTCCTTTAGGGGAAACTCAAACAAAACGTTCTCCGCCCCTCCCCCAAAGGAAGTTCGCTCCTGTTTCTGTATTCTCCCAGAGATCTCTCTGAATGTTGTCTGCAAATGAAAATGAAAATGAAAATGGAATTAAGCACAAAAGCAGCTAAAAAGGCGAGCAAAGCATAAGTACACACAGGCGTAGATACATACAAATACATATACATATATATTTGTGCACTTAAAGATACAAGATACAAGATACAAGCGGATGGGTGAGAGGCAGGCAGGCAGGCAGCACAAACACACACAAAAAGTTCAAGTATCCCCAAAGTATGCGCTTCTCTAGAGCAAAAGAGAGTGTGAGAAAGTGAGTGCGAGAGTGAGAGAGATGGCCGGGTCGGTGCCTGGAAGTCAACTCTGAAATGTGGCATTTTATATTGTTAAACCTTTCTTCTATCTTCCTGCCACTTGCCCCTTAACGTGGCATGCGTTTTGTCTTTGCTTCTTCTCTTGGGCAAACGATACGGTATTCCCATTCCCATTCCCATTCCCATTTCTGTTTTCTATTCATGCAATTGCATTCCTTGAATGGTTTCGTTTTCTTTGCATCCTCGACACTCGTTTATTCCATTCAAAGAGCTTCTCGAGTACTTCTCTTTGATGTGGCGTTGTGATCGGTCGCATCTTTCTGCTATCTCTGGAAGCGTTCACTGGCCATCGGGAAACCTCTGATTGAATCAAACTCGCATGGGAGAAAAATGATCCTCATAAGCGTTCCCTTATACGAGTAATTACGAGTGAACCGACCCGACCCGACCCGACACAAGCAATGATATCTGTATTCCAACGTATCGTATGGCATCTGGCATTGTGCGTGCCGACAGGACCTTAATCATTGAAGAGCCAGCGGATGTCTGCTGTTGCTGTTCGCTCCCTTCTTGTATCGCTGTCACTGTCTGTCCCTCTTTCCGTCTCGCTCTCGCTCTGTCTTGTCATTCAGCGGGCGAATGTGTTTTGAATTATTGCCACGCTGTAAATTCAGCAAAAGGATGATGGTCCCCCCCGGCAGCCTGCTGCTGTTCCTCTCGCTCAAGTGAAAAAAGATTGCCCAAAACAAAAGGATATTGTGACAAGGATTTATTAGAGTGTCCTTCGGAGGGAAGCACAGCACACAGGCTGATGGCAGACTGCAGTCGACAAGGAGCTGATGGGGGGGGGGGGGGGGGANGGGGGGGGGGGGGGGGGGGGGGGGGGAACATCACTGCATTGTCTCCCATTTTCCAACCCTAAAATTCTGCCACCGACCGACTGGCCGCCGCGTGTCAAAGTGCAATTATTGCACGTTCCACGAGTGCCGCCGCCTCTCAAAATCATCTGGAAATTTATGTGGCATTCAATCTGTTCTCGCCTGGCGCTCTTTAAGGACCCTTTGAGGAAGCTCGAGCTGGGATGGGTGCGCAGAGTGCCCCGAAATATCGAAAGGAATTTGACTAATTTATTTAATGGCTTTGGTTATTACCAGAACATGGTCCTTAGGCACAATCCTTGAGAGAGGCAAAAATAATGGCCCCAAATCTGCTGCTGCAAAAAGTTTTATTGCAATTGCCAAATTAATTTGGGGCGCCCCCAAAAGACAGGCCTGCCAGCGCCTTTACCCCCCCAAAATGAGACCCCGACGACACACAAATGTGCGTTCATTAATTTAATTTTTCATTAGGGCCACCAAGAAAAGTGTCATAAGACACTCCGGGCTTCCATAAAGAAAAGGTTCCCACCCGAATGGCTGGGAATAACTGAGAGGAAAAGGTGGTCCAATGGGTCTCACCTTTTATTTTAATATTTCGGTCATTAAAAAAGCGTTTTCCCCACCAAAAGCAGCCATCGGTCGCTCAGTTTGGGCTTTGATTTTTTCGCATTTTTTACGATGACAGAGCGGCAAATGGTTTTAACCATCGAAACAAAAGAAAATCCCACCAAGAAACAAATCGTTTGAACAAAAGCAATAACCTTTAACGCTGCCCAGCTAACAATTTTGCTCACGAAAGAAGCGCAGAGAATTCTCAAGACGAAGCGGGCAATACCCTACGAGAGGAAAGTGCTTAGCGAAATCTTTTGGCACTATTGATAGCAGATATACATTTGGAATGAAAGAAAGTAAATGGAATAGATGGAATAAATCAGTTGTGATGGACGATGGTCTGTCACGTGGAAAAGGGTATTCAAGTATTCAAAGCAGAGGCCAAAAGGAGAGCGTCAAACAATTAAGGCTAAACGCTTTTATAACATCCAACAATTGGGATTTGTGTGGGGCTATGGAAACTCCTGTCGACCCTGCGGCACCCACAGATTACACCCAAGGAGAGAGAGAGAGAGAGAGAGAGAGAGCGGAATGGGACACACCCCTAGTAGGTCTTCAGATTAATGACACAGCGCAATTTTTACGATTGTTTGACCAAAGTTAAGCAAAAGATGCCTCTGTTGGATGCTGCTCCTGGGTGCTGCTGGGCTTTCACTTTTCCACTGTTTCCTTGGGCCTTTCGGCGTGTGTTTCCCTTTCATGAAATTTATGAAATTTCACCTTTCGGCCAAGCAATTTGCTCCATTTACATTCTTTATTAGCATCCGAAGTTTACCAAGACGTTGCAGCCACCAAGAAAAAAAAACAACATAAAGGGATGGTGGCTGGAGGATGGAGGCGCCTGTAATTTTGTGCCTCTCTGAAAAGTTGTTGCAAAAGAATTTGGAAAGAACACACAAACGAGACGACAGCGAAAGTTTCCCTCTGGTTCGCCTTCTTCCAGGAATCCTGGAATTGAGCGTGGGGCTTTTCAGAATACTTTTTGGAGCAAAGTTTGTCAATCCTGAAGTCGTAATTCTTGCGAGAGAGTATAGTCGCACTTAGGAGAATGTGAATGGGAAGGGGAATGGGGATAATGAAGCAGGAAAATATCTATTAAGTTAGAAATCAAGAGGCAAAATAATGATAATGGCAGTGGTTGATGCTCCCTTGCTTATTCCTAAATGAAACAGAACGCGAAGAATGGAATCATATCGTAATGGATTTCCAACATGTGTTCCATTCCCATTTGAGACCTCTGAAGGTAGAGTTGTCATCCGATCCTGCCTCAATATATTTCGTGTTTCCTCTGTTGTTTTTTTTGGCAGCCAAATGACATCCCACATCGCCTTGTTACAGCAATTTTCCACCCATGCCGCAAGTTGCTTAGACACTGCCATGCTCTGCTGGCGCTCGTCATCCATCCCGTGGCAGCCGTCCCATGGGGCGGACAGGGGAATTTAATAAATTCATCATCTTTCATTTAGTCAGCATCCGTCCGCCATGTCCTCATCCTTCGTGCTCTTCCGCGAAGAAGTCTGTTACACTGTCCAACACAACACGAAGGAAATCTAGCATGAAGAATGGAAATCATAAAGAAACGAAAAAAAAGCGCAGACAAGGCAAAAGTTTCCCCGAAAAAAAGAGCGAACGAGCGAGCAAAAAAAAATCAACAGAATCGTGACTGTCATTTCAACGAAGCGAAGTTATTTTTCATGACAAAGAGGAAAACTCCTTGCCCCTACTTCGACTCATTTTCCAGCAGCAGCAGCAGCAGCAGCAGCAGCAGCAGCAGCAGCAGCAGCAGCAGCAGCAGCAGTAGAGGAGTGGCAGAGGAGGAGTAGCTGTGGAAAGGATAGAGGACAGGGACAGGGACAGGAGGAATTCCAGCGTTAAAATACCTTTTACTGGCACATTACCAGTGCTAGCCAGCCACCAACCATCGCTTTTCCTCTCCACCGCTTTTCTCCTTCTTTCCATCATCTCAGCTCAAAAAAAAAAACAAAAAAAAAAAAGTGCAGCTCTCGCAGTTGGCTTCGCTGCGTTTTTCATGAAATTATTACGACTTTCGGGGAAAATGGGGTCGTACAAAATGTCGTTACGTTGGCGAGGAACAACGTTATAACGTGTCTCCCCCCCCCCCCCCCACCCCTTTTCCACCGCTCTTCTCAATTTAGTTTATTGTTGAAAATCTCTTCATTTTATTTGTGCGGAAAATGTTTGGAAATTGGTTAAAGTTCGAAAGCGGAAACATTGAATGGGAGAGACAAATGAGTGGAAAATAATATGAAATATTTTCCATCCAAAGAGTGAGCTGCAGGGCTTGGACTCATTACGAAGAGAGAGAAGATAGAAGGAGCTTCTTTCTGGATGCTGCACCTTTGGCTGCGAGAAGATTGCCCCCTCCACTGGGATGCATTTCCCCACCAGAACCAAGAGAGAAAGTGCTGACAAACATTTGATATTCGCTTTTAGAATCTCTCTTTCTCTTGTGGGAATTCTTATTCTTTCAAACATTCAATGTGTGAGAAAGCAGCAAAAGTCAGCGACAAAGAGCGATTCCCACGCATTTCAGTGTCCAACATTTTTCCAGCAAATGATCTTGACCTGATTTGAGTATTTGATCGCCACTCCACTTTCGTCTTTTTCAAGAGAACCAAAGAATGATGATCCAAAAGCGGGGAATTCGATCATATTTTGATTGGGATCTTGAACCAAATTGAACACTTGAAGCGACGCCACTCCCTAATCCAAAGCAGAGAAGTGTCTTACGGAATGATCTTGATCTCAATGATCTCTCACGGCAGAGAAAAATAAGAGTGAGTGGAGTGGGAGAGGGAGAGAGAGAGAGAGAGCGCAAGTGTCACCGACTGACCCACTTGATCCCCTAACCATGCTCCGATATCTATTCAGGCATTGTCTCTGGCCGTCTAGACGGTGCGCATCGGACGGTTTGTGTCTGCCTTTGGCCATGTCGTCGCCAGATGACAGATCTTTGTCACACACTCGCGTAAAGATCGCATTAAAAGGCCGTAAAGCACAACAACCACACAACACACACACACAAGAAAAAGCATTACTTCCCGTCTGTACAGCTGTTGCTGTGTACACATCTTCATTGCGACTCTCCTTTTTTTTTTTTCGTGCTGTCTCTCTGCTTTCTCGACATGGCCATTGCTGGCCCATCATCATCATCATCATCATCATCATCATCATCATCGGAGTGCCATCGTCTGCTGAGTCTGTGTCTGTGTCTGTGTCGTTGTCGCATGATGAAGGCCATCAAAAATCTAATAAGCGTGAAATAATTGACATTTAAGGCAAAGCGCACGCACATAGACAATGAATGAATGGACCATCCTCTTGGCCCTTCTGCCACTTCTCTGCCACTCAGCCCGTGCGCCACTCAGCCCGTGCGCCAGTCCGCCACTGTGCCAGTCTCCACCCGTTCTGCCACTCTCCCTGCTGCGGTTTGTAGGCCACGAAGAGAGCGAGAGAATCATGACAGATGACCGCACGTACATTTCACGTTTCCACGACACCGAAAACAGTCGACAAGAGATACACTCGACTCCGCGTGAAAGATTGGGAACCCGAGACCCAAAAGATACTTCCACGTTGTTCGAGGAGTGGGAGTGTGGCAGTGTTCATGCAGCGGGGGAGGAGATCGTTCTCCATTTCTGGGTCATGAACCACTCACTGAACAAAAAATAAAACCGACAAAAATCCCTATAAAAATATTTTAAATAATGCGTTTTTTTTTTTTTTTGTCTTTCAAAGAGAAATAAAGATAAAAAGAGAGAGAGAGAGAGAGAGAGAGAGAGAGAGAGAGAGAGACGAAACGCCTTCGACACCTGTGTGTCAGGCAGAGGAAGGCGTGGCAGTGGGCACAACGTGTTGGGAATACGTTGAGAGGAGTAAAAGATGGCAGCAGTGGCAGAGACGCAAGAGTAGGAGGAGGAAGGCCATCGAAAGGATGGGGAAATGTTTACGTTTTATGTGAGAATTATTTCAAGTGGCAGGGCAGCCTGATGATCGGCAAAGATAGATTCAGCTGGAAGATAGACAGACAACAACTGATAGACAGACAGGAGATACTCAGTCGGATGTGCATACTTGGACAGACACTTGGGTAGATATGCCCACAATGTACTTCAATGAATGGGTACAGCTATTGATTAATTAATAGATAAGAATCGATTCTTACAGCCAAAAGTAAATATTAATTAATGTAGAGTTACTTACTGAGACTGAGATAAAGACAGTCAAGGTCTTCAGGTGTTGCGCCACGAATTGCACTCAAATGAAGTCCACAGGCAGTCATATCTGTAGATGCATTTCAATTGAGAAACCACCAGTTTTCCTCCCACTTTTCCTTTAGTCCTGTCTCTAGCTGTATATTTGAACCTTAAACTAACCAACTGTATCCCGTATCCGTATCTTTTGCAGGACTTAAGACAGAAGCTGGAACGTTGCAGCAGGCCGCCGCAGCTCTGCCAATGTCCACAATTTAAATGGTGAGTGTGAAATGCATTTAATGCCGAGCGAAAGACAAAAGAAAGGAGACTATGGTGCTTCCCACATCTCGCAAACAGAACTAAATTGCTTTCCCGCTCAGCGGGAGCTGTGTGTATGCTCATAGAGAGGATACCCTATAGAATGGGTAGTGATGCGCCGGGATGATGCCCAAAGCCCTTACCTTTTTAAACCAAAATGAATGTCTATGAAGCAGACCGCCAGCTGAGTGCTGGAGGCTGAGGCTGAGGCTCAAGCGGAGGAGGGGCAGTAAAATGCAAATAGATGCCCCATGCCCCACCAACGAGAATAAAAGTATCTCTTGCTGATGACTGACTGCAACGTCATCGGCAGAACAGAACAGCAGAAACATCAATGTGAATCCAAGGGGGGTGTGTGGGGCATTGAGGCGATTGCTGGGCACGTTGGCGCATGCCACACGGCAGATGACCAGCAATTGCAATGGAATGTGAGGCTCAGCGTCATCGTCATCGTCATCGTCTTCGTTGTGGAGGCCTCATTTGTGAAAGCAGCGGAAGGGGAATTATTTCATTTTCAGCATTTAACAAGTGAATGACAATGCCCCTTCTCCGAGGAAAGCGGAGAGTCCACCCTCTCTGCGATAAACAGAAGGGCTCAGGCAGAAGATCCGTTTGTGGCTTACAGCAGGATATATTCTGAATACTGAGCCCTACCTCAATAGATGACCAAGGCTGCTGGGGGGCATTTTTTGTAGAATTTCACAATAAATAATTGGCAGATTATTCAAGTTACTTCTTCTACTGGAATTCGCTTTTGCCTCCCATTTACTGGTGGACCCCCCCCCCCACTGTTGGGTCTTGGCCTGAGCTTCTGCTCTCCCGCTGGCTCCTTGGTCCAGAGCCATAACATTGACCAAATATTGCCACAAGCTGCTTGACGTCGCCCCTTGAGCTGCCTCTCCCCGTCTCTTTTGTGATGGAAGCTAGCTGTGCAATTATTTGCACAACTAATAATTCACTTTAGTGTCTCATTCAGAGGCAAATATTGGAGGAGCAGCCGCCACAGTATAGAGAGAGAGAGAGAGAGAATGGAGGGACATTTGCAGTTGTCATTAGCAAGCGGTTTGTCGATAGATGGAATCGAGGATATGCCCCAAAGAAGCAAAACAAAAACAAAAGGGTTACAGTCGATCGCATGCCTTGCCGTCAGGCCTCAATGCTCGCTGTGGCCTCTGCCGCTGGCAAAATGTCAACAACAAAATGTCCGTCTGTCCGAGTGCCTAAGTAGCTTACGCTTTGGGTTTATTTTAGCGTATCTTTAATGTTTTTCGTACTTCTAATTTGGCCAACAGTTTAGACGACGACGACGACGACGACGACGGAGAGTGGCCTTGAGAGCCTGAGGCTATGGGGCTATGTGTTTCTAGCGATCGATTCCCACAATGGGTTGAGCAAAACGAGTGGCTGGCCTTTGTTTGGCAGCTAATTGGCTGCTGCTTGAATCGAAAGTACTACTCGTATTTGTATCTGTAGCCTGGCATTATACAATTATTATTGGGAATGAATCCCAAAACAGAGTCCAAAGAGACTCCTTCTGAACTTGACATTGAAGTGGAATGGAAGTACGCCACGGCCAGGGCTGCTGCTGTGGCACGTCACCTCTTAATTACTTCAATTTCTGGAGCTTCAACTCTCGACTTCAACTGAAAGTTGCTACGGCAGCGACGGCGGCGTCATTCACCTTCAAAATCATGTCGCGTCGCGTCGCTTTGCTTCTCGTCTCGTCTCGTCGCGGCGTTTATTGAAGCGGAAAAACCAGTAATTAAATGTCTCTTTCTTTTCACTTTGTTCCCCTCCAAAAATGATACAATTTTGCACGCGTCGTCGACTCCGCAGAGGCGTCTCCCCCGACCCAACTCCCCAGACTCGTCTCTCTGTCATTCGACCAATTTGTAATTGAAACTTTCATTTTCATTTACATTTACATTTTCTTTGGCCTCTAGATTCGTGGAAGCAGTGAGACAGCAACAAACGAAGCAGAGAAAGACAGACTTGACTTTGCCACAGCGATGTTGCAACATGAATGGAGGTAACACCACGCCTGCCACTCCACTCCACGCCATATTTTTTTTATTTTGATACGTTTTATTGACACGACGACAATCTGCGGCATTAGATGTAAATTTTCAAAGCGGCAATCATGCTGCAATTGTTGCAACAAAAGAGGCGACCCAGAGACGCGGGAGTTTCCGTCACGAAATTTGTTGAGGTAAAAACTGTTGTCGAAATGGAAACGAGGGGGAGTGGCGAATAAAAGGATGGAACTTTGCATGTGGATTACATGAGATTTATGGGTACATTCAAGGGTGCAGAAACGGGTTTGCTTCGATTGAGGACAAGTCTGTGGACCAGGCACAAGCAGAGGCAAGGATTGAGGATGGCCATAAAGCTTCATGATCATAACATAATTACAAGATCGGGCAAGGATTTCCGGCCATCTATCTAAGGCTCTCATTTAATGCAATTTTCCTTTGCAATTCAGTTCGTGCACAAAGATACACAGCAAGAGGCAAGAATATTCACTGCAAATGTGTTCCCACGCCGCGACATGCAGACATCCCCATGTGTATATCGAATCAGTCATTCGATTGCAAGTTGCAAAGGTTTTTTTTTTCACCATGCCTCTTGGCTCTCCTTGCCCAGCTACTGCGCTGCCTCTCTCTCTTCTCCATCTGGTTAAGTGAGTTAAACAAATTGGTTTGAAACCCGATGACAGCTCCATCACATTTTTGCTTCCGCCGTATTCGTTGTCACCCAGACGAAGGTGCAACCTGTGTGTGTGTCTCTGTGTGTGGCAGGGGTGGTGGCGGCTAATGAATGACATGCTATCCTTATGAATGGCAAGCAGCCCCGCCCGCCTCTGCGCTTCTGCCCCAACCCATGGGCTTTCCCCTCTCTCTCTCTCTCTCTCTGAGCGAATCAATGGCTTGGCTCAAACAAATGATGAAATACGATATTTGTCCTCGTCGAAAGGTACCGTTGTTTATGCCCTTCCCTTTTGGCGGGGCATGCACGAGTTTGCAAGGAAAATGCAGCAGTGAGGAAAGTTGTTTAATATTGGAAGAGCATAAGAGCATAAGAGCAGTGGATCTTCGGCTGGTGGGGGAACCCTTGGAACTTCTTTGTTGCTTTGCAAGTGAAACTCGAGACTCGCTCGCCACTAGCGGGGGTTGCAAGTGCCACAAAGTGCAGCCATAGAGGCAAAGCGAGAGAGACAAAGCGAACGCACAGGTGCGAGAGTTGTTTGGGGGCTTTTTTCTTGTGTGTGTGGGTTGAGTGGTGATCGAGAATGAGGGGGAAATAATGAAGCACACGATAAATTACGCATACGCCGCATAAGCCAACGAACGACAGCAACAAAAAAAAACAACAACAACAACAAAAAAAGAAGGAAAATTGCCTGTAAATGAACAAAAAATAATTAAAAATGCATTTTTCATTAAGGCATTAAAATGCAAACACGACAGAGAGCGAAGGAAATACGAGATAGTGAGGGAGAGGGAGAGGGAGAGGGAGAGGGAGAGCGGTGGAAACGGCCATTCATTTATTTCATTTATCGCGCGGATTGCCCCCGTGGACGGCTATGCGGCCCGCCACTTCATTGATTACAATGCCAGAGTCTACTGTCGTTGGGTGTCGGGTGCCTAGAGACGGCAGGACACCATCAGCAGCAGGAGGAGTAGTCGTGAGTCCCATGCTAAGCTCATGATCAGGAAGGAATTTTGTTTGTACTCAGAGGCCGCTAGAGAAGTGAGAAGATCATGGAACAGAATTGCTGTCTTTGAATTGAAATGAAATAGCAGAAACCCCCGTGGTGAAAGGTCTGTCAATCTGTCTCTGGTTTGAGCCAGAATCGCCCGTGTATCACGGCATGTGTGCCATCTCTATGCCGCTGGAGGACTCTGTGCCTCGTTTATGTCATTGTGAAATTATCGTTAATGCTTGGCCGTTGCTTTTGCTCTGGATCTGACTCTGACTCTGGCTCTGGGGGATGGCCACAAGGGTCTGCAGGGGCACAGATATGACCACTTCATTTCGCAAACAAACAGCAGCAGCAGCAGCAGCGGCAACTGTTTGCTCGGCTTTAAGGCAGAGGCTGTGAGGCAGCGGCAGCGGCAGCGGCAGCGGCAGCGCTGTATAAGAGGCTTGTGGCGTGGCGCGTGACGGTCATTGAAACAATGCGCGGAAAAACGCGTGTAATTAAAACAATAAAACGAATGTTGGGGCAGTGGCAGCGACAAACAACAGGAAAAATGTTCAGTTAAGTTTTAATTTTCACAAGTGTGAAAAATACTATTGAAAAGGCCAGCCAAAAGGCCGCCCAACGCGTTCACAAAAGCCCGTGCCCGTGCTCGTGCTCGTGCTCTCTCACTCGCCAACGAGCCACTTCCGCCGGACGGACAGACTCTTGAAGAATGAAATGCGAATGCGAATGAAAAAAAAAAAAGAATTTTCTGGGCGCAGGGCCCAGAATTGTATTTTTTTGTTCTCGCAGCGAAATTAATGAATGGAAGAGCAAAGCAGATAATAGCATCGAAATCATTGACTAAACCTCAGCAAGTGTAGCCGCAATGATTTCCAGAAAAATGTTCTATGCTTTAAGGCTGAATCCAGCGATTTGATATCCTTTGGGTCTTTGGAGTGCCAGTGAATACTCATAGTTCTGGAACCAAAAAGGATCAGCAATACGATAGGATAAAACAAGTCCCAACTGAAAATTGTTGCCCAATCGTTTGCCATTCCCTTTTTGCCTTTTTGCCTTCAGTTCTTTTTGCAACTCAGAGATCGTGTGGCATGTGCCCGAAATGTATCTTTGATTTTGCCACTAAACAAAAGTGAATGTCTCTGGTGGCATTTTCCTGTCTTTAGTCGTTGTTGTTGGGTCGATGACTCGAACGATTGTTTCTATGGCGAAAACGAAAGCGAAAATTGCGACCCAAAAAAATCTTTCGATTTTTTTG